GTAGAACAACGCTTTGAATATCAGAAATGGAGTGAAATAACTGAGACAGGCAGACAAGAGAAGGATCATACGGAGAAAGAAAAGGGGTCTGATAGAAACCGAAGAGAGAGGATTGCTGATTAAACCGCAGCCTTTGATCTAAACTCCCGGCGCAGTGGGAGGGATGAGGAAACCAGCGGGGAGTGTGAAGAGATTTTAAAATAGGTCGAGATAAACAAGAAAGAAATTGTGATATTGAAGGGGTGATAAGAGGATATAGGAGATGTGAATAGCCCAGGGTAGAAGGAGAGATAGCACAACTATTTAGCACACATTTGCTCAAAGGATCAGCTTCACTTGTCTCTTTGACGAGTTGTAGTGTCGTGCTACGATGTCGGCGAAACGACTGGGAATGTACCAAGTTCACGGTCCGACTCTGGAGACTATTATGCATACTGTGTATCCGGAAAAAGTGTGTTTCTCTAGGTCTCCCTGCCAATGTAACCGAGTTGCGAAGACAAGTTCAAACAACTTGGTATATTCTTTGCTTATAATTGAGCCCCATTTTAATTAGTTTGAAAATGGAGTTGCAGTAAAACTACTTCATCAGTAAGCCGCAAATATATAAGTTGAGCTTAATATACATTTACTAATTATATCACTTTTAAGGTTATCCTTTATTATTAACTGAGATCTCTTTATGTTAAATACAGCACAGCCAACCCTCGAGACTGGTACGCAGGCTTGGGCGACTTCAGATTGGATTGGTTGGACCCAGGCGAAAAAATGGTGGCCATCTCACGTATTATTCGGCATCCTAAGTACAACGTACGAGTCAGCTATGACTTTGACATTGCCCTTGTTAAATTAGCTAAACCAATCAACTACACTCGTGTTATTCAACCAGTATGCCTACCTTTTATGGATAGTCATTTGGCGGCAGCGACTGCGGATATGGATACCCCACTTGCTTCAGTTGTTCCAGGCACTGATCGCTTGCACGATAATCAAGGCTTCACCTATTATAAAAGGGACGTGGAAGGTAATAACGACAAGGCATACGCAGAACTCAACAAATTCTTTGATCCATTGGAGCAGAAGCGAAAGCATGGACAGAAGTCAGTGTCAAAGGAGAATAATCTGACAACGTTCTTCCTTGAGGAGGCAGGGAGTGAGAGCTATCGAAACGCAGTCATGGATGAAGAGCATAATCAAAAGGATATGAAACAGGAAAGCAAAGATGTCCAAATCTATCCAGAAAATGTGGACTCCTATGGGCATGGATCTATCTGTTATGTGGCGGGTTGGGGCACAACTGAAGGTAAGGTTTTGTATGTTATCGTAAAAGCGAAGAGCGTTTAAATTATATTTATGGAGACTGTTTCAAGTAACCAAGTAGATGTCTCTTCATTTATATCTAAGGAGGGTGGTTTAAAAATATTTTACCTCTATTAGCTTGAGAAAATACAGAAAATTAGAAATGTTATGTAAAGCACGTTAGGAAATCGACTCGATACGCAATCCAGATAGCATTCAGAAGCTGCTGAATAGAGTTTTTAACCCCCAGAGCAAATGATTAGCAACGATGAATGTAGGAGTCATGTAGCATTGCTTCAATTTTTTCCTATGGGTGGCACTGTAAGATCGTTCTTTTCCTTCCACCTCCTTAATATCCATTTATATCTAGAATTATTTTATGAAACAATAGAGTCCGACTGAAATAAAGCCACGCTACAAAATTATAATGTTTCCTTGAATGTTGTTTGAAGTATATACGAAGAGAAACTTGGTTTCGATTAATCTCCTGAGATAACATTGTTAGGGGGAACTTCATTTCGAATG